AGATTACAAAACAGGAGGATATGCAGACGCATGTTAGTCTGCATTTTCTAACTTTTCTACAATTGAAAAAAATCTATACTTTGTGTACTTTGTCAATTCAAATTTAAAAAGAGGAGAATAGAGGTTTACGGCAGCTGAGCTGAACCCCAACAGGACTGACCACACTGCTGTCTGGGGCCAGGTGGTCGGGGGAGGAGCCTGCAGTCTACTGCCCCCAACCTCCTGGGGCTGACCCCACCCCTGGACCTCTCGGGGAGGTGGACAGTGCTCCGCCCCATCTGGCTGACCTGGGCTGCAGGCTGCCAAACTGAGACCCTCCCCTTCACACACAGCTGCCTCCTGGCTGCCCATCCTCCAGCCCCAGCCAGAGGGCAGGCAGGACAGAGGCCACAGCACCTCCCCATTTGGGAGCAGTCCCAAGGGTGAAGGTGGTGGAGCAGAACCAGGCCTGGCCTGACTGGAGAGCTGGCGGGCAGGGGACAGGGATGGCTCTGCTTCCCTACTTGTGACGTGATGGGGCTGGGAGGGTTCGGTTCTCCATCAGGAAGCGAACAGGGGAGGCCCAGTGCGGCTCCACTCCCTCTCAGTTGGAACAGCTCAGACAAGTCGCATCACCTGCAGGAACTGTGGCTTCCTCACTTCATGGTGGACCACGCCCACCCCCAGAACAGGGAGGATGACGATGAGAATGGCTCTGGAAGCACCGAAGGTCACGCCATACAAGATCGAGACTTTTTTCCACAGTGAAAGGACCCAGCCCATCTCCCGCCCTCCCCGCACACAGAAGGGCCTCACAGCGAGTCTGCTTCCCACTGCTCTCCACTCCTGGAACCAGTTCTCCCTGGATTCATTCTCCCACATTCCTGGACCTCTTCCTGAGCAACAGGAGCAGGAAAAACAGGGTGGCTGCAGGTCTCCTGATGCTGTCTCAGCATGAACCCTGGGGCCACAGTCCAGCCCCACTGCCCATGCCTGGGACGCCCTCGGGCCTGGAGCCAGAGTGGGGTAACTCAGAAGGCGGGGAGGAAACCAGTCAGGTTGTCACCACTACTGTGGCAATGTCTGCCAAATCAAGGTGACGTCACGGATCGGCGAGCACGCCCTGGTTCACAAACACCATCCTGGGGACCCAACTCACAGACAAGAGGCCGGCCGTTAGCCAGCCTCAAGGGTTTGGGCGCCAGGCCAGCTCTGGGATGGGCCTCAGTTGGGGTGGGACCTCTCTGCACATGGAGTTGGAGAACCGGTTTTCCATCCTGAAGTAGGCAGGCTAGTGGCCCAGTTTCCTCTGTAGGACGCGTTACCCACCCCAAGGTGAACCACCAACCCTGAATGGCGACTGCTCCAGCTGGGTGTAGACGTGGATCCAAAGCCGAAGGGAGGCAGTGGTTGTGAGGGCTGAGGGATTGGGGCTTGCCTGTTCGGGTGCTTAACAAGACACACTCCTCTGCCCTGTGCCCGATGGACTATGCAACACGTCCCCTCTCCTCCCACTTGGCAGGGTGGCCATGACCGTCAACCACAAACCCTACCCCGACATGGCACATGTCAGCAGACCTGCCACCAGGAGGAAGTGACTGAGGGCTTACAAAACAAAAGAGCTGACATGAACACCTCCTCCCACGGGCCGGCCTTCCAGGGCCGCCAGACCACATCTTACTCAGGCAGTAAGAGGGGGCGGTTCGAGATGCTTCATGTACACCCTGCAGAGTTGGCCACTAGGGAAGTTTAACTGGGAGAGGGTACGACCAGCCCAAGGGAGATGCAGGGGCCCTTCTGGGCGTGGGGACACTTCTCTCTCTCCCTCCCACAGAGCTGGCCTGGGCTGCTG